TGAAAGCAGAGAATAGAACATTGCTAGAGAGCAGGAAAGGAGGTGAAAGGAGACAATTTTAGAGAAGAAAATTTTTTGGTCGCTACCCGGATTCGAACCCGGGACCTTTGAATGAGAGGCCAACACCTTAACCTCTAGGCCACGAGAGCCCCCTATCATTGTAAGAAAGGATAGTCCAAATGTCCCGTCAGTTGTCGTGGAATAGGCCTACAGATCAGACACACCGCACTGTGCCTTGTGGCTTGTGTGTGTGTGATAGTTTATCCTCCGGCATCGTTTAGAGTCCCGAAGAGCCAGGGCCACACCGCCTCACTTGGGTAACGGGTGAGGCAGTCCAAACTCCCTGAATTTTCCCCAAAGAGATGCCACAGCTGGAGCCCCTAATGACGCATCTCTGAGCCACTGTTCGAAGTCTTTGAGCTTGATTATGCAACAGGGACAGATTGTTGTTGTTGTTGCTGTTGTTGTTGTTGCTGTTGTTGTTGTTATTGCTGGTAGTATCAGTTGGGGTAGTGTTTTGTTGATATTGCTGCTGTTTTAACCCTTGACTGCGGCTTCCTAAGTTCAACTATCTTTTTAAAAAAACAAAAAAAAAGTAAACATTGACGAAGCATAATATCTAAAGTCACACGTTCACCCTCACGGCGTGTAGTATAGTTGTTAGGCCACCTGATTCGTAATTGTGAAACTGTAAAATCGGGAGATTGAATGTTACACGACCACACCCACAGCGTGAAGCATAGTTGTTATGCCACCAGACTCGTAATTGTGAAATTTCAGGTTCAAAGGTTCACATAGAGTCAGTTCGTTTCGACGTTGTGTCCGTGGCAAAGGCATTCTACGCGAATTCTCCAATTTGACCCAGTCCTGTCATTGAGGTTAATAAATCATTCTCATAATGCTGCAAGGGGCGTTAAACTTACAAAATTATTCCTCATATTTTTTTCTACCAGTGGCGTCCCCTTCCCCCCGAAAAAGCACTAGCGAAATGTTACGTACAAGATCAACGCCTTTTGCTTACAACCGTCCTTCTCCGAGTGAATTCCAAACACAAACAGGCGGAGGATGCTTAGCTTAGCTTTAGTAAGAGTTTCCCGGCACTAGCAACACAATTACGGTCATGTAAGAGTCTAAGAATAGAATTATTACGAGATGGTACCGTACAGAGAAAGGAAGAAGCAAAGAGGAGGACGACAGATGTTTGATAGGAAAGGAGGAGTGAACCACACCAGAGCATCAGCCAACCACATATAGGCGGCAGATGGTTCGGTGAGAGAGCAATGGATCGTAGAAACGTTTAAATTACTCCTATAAAATCCACATCACCCCAGAAAAAAATACCCATCAGCGAGTTTTTTTCTTTTCATAAAAGTTTATTTTTCTAAACCTACCAATGTTTCTGAATGAATAATAACATTACACGCTTGTATTATTATATGCATTTAACTTTTATTTGTCTGTCTGTCTGTCTGTCTGTTTGTCTGTTTGTCTGTTTGTCTGTCTCTTTCTCATTGTCCCCCCCCCCCTCTCCTCCCCCTCCCTCTCTCTAATAGACACACACAGTATATATACTGAATTCTTTTTACATAAAATGTTATTTTTCTGACCGTAACAATATTTCTGAATATAGGATAACAATAATAACATCATATACTTATATTATTATATATGGGCTCAACTTGTCTCTGTCTGTCATTTTATCTGTCTGTCTGTCTGTCTGTCTGTCTGTCTGTCTGTCTGTCTGTCTGTCTGTCTGTCTGTCTGTCTGTCTGTGTATGTCCAGAGAGCTTAGAATTACCGAGAGGGGAAAGCGATGCGGGATGCGCGTATCGGGCTCTGCGCATAACAACGCCCAAGTAAGACGGTAAACACGAACCATTCTGTTCAACAATGGCTGCGAAAAACACGCATTGTAAGTGGTGCTCTGCGATAAACTGTACAGATTCTAATAATAAACGGCCCGACCTTTCATTTTTTAGATTTCGATCCTATCCTGCAAGATAAGAATTATACTGTGCTTTCAATTCTTTATTTGAACTATTGTTTATTTAGATTTAAACTCAATTTGTTTTTACTAGATCTAGATCTAAATCTAGAATCTATTAATAAAGAGGGCCCACTATCACTCGGCCAGGAAATAATTAAGAGCCTAACCGAGCCTTAGGCATAGCAAACTGACCAAATCAAAAATAATTCATATCAGTCTTTTTTCTCTTTGTTTACATATTTTTACAGAATTATATTTATAATCTAGATCTACCCCCTTTCCCGCATTTGCCCATTTCTTCATACTGGCATTTTTGTTTTAATGTGTGTTTAAGTATGACAATTCATTTGAAAGCACGTGATTAAATAAACTGCAAAAAACCAGATGCAAAGATAATGCAGAATTGTACAAACATTTCACAAATTGTTTGTTATTTAAAAAACAACAACAGCTAATAGTAATACATGTAATAGATGGAGAAATATCAGCTGAGCAATGCCCAATAACTGAAGAGGATTTTTGTTTGTTGGCTTATTCATGATATACCGGTACTATGGTGCTTGTCACATTGAAAATGAATGTATTATGATCTTTGACATAATCATTTATAGCCATTGTATTTTTATTTGCTTATTGGGCACTTTGCATTTACAATTGTTATATTGATACCTCATTCAGATGTAAACAATGGGTGGTGAACACCAGGAGACAGGACCTAGAGGGTAAGCCAGCAGCTCATTTCAGCAAGAACAATCATTTGTGCTCTGAACATTTCGAAAGTCGTTTCTTTAGTAAAACAGCGACAAAACGACCAGGCCTGGTAAGGGGTGCCATTCCTACAGTTTTCAACGTTCCAAATCCTCCTCCTAAAATCACACCATCTCGGCCAGGTCCTAAACCACGACCACTGCCTGAAACCCAGGAACAGTCACAGCCATCCTCACCACCCCACACCTCTGACTTCAACACCAACGTCCCTTGCTCTTCCACTAGTCATACACAGGAACAAAGAGAGTGCACGCTAAAAAGAAAACTTAAAGCAGAAAGAACGAAAACGTGGCGAATGAGGAAAATGTTAAAGTTACCCAACGAAGCTAAACAAAACGCTATCACTGCTACCACCACTTCATCAACTGATGACACTTTTGAAAATTTGAAGGAACTTCTAAGTCATTATTTGCCCGAGAGAGCATTGAAGTTTGTTACAACTCAAATCCGAGTTTCCAACATTGAAAGCAAGGCTCGAAGATGGACATTTCAGGAGAAAAGCTTTGCTCTGTTGCTGTATCATGCCAGCAAAAAAGCATAATATAGAATCTAGTTTACTTAAAAAAATCTTCCATCTACCAACCCCACGCACCCTTTCTTTAGCCATGCACAACGTTAACATTCGCCCAATGATCTGTGAAAACATCATGCGTTTGTTCAGGATTGAGGTGATGCAGATGAGCCCTCAAGAAAAATGTGTGCCATTGTGTTTGATGAAATGTCACTGAAACATGGAATCAAATATGACCCAACCAACGACGAAGTTGAAGGTTTTGAGGACTTCGGTGCAACTGGTCGTTCCAAACTTCATGCTGACCAATATGCTCTTGTATTCATGGAGCGAGGTTTGTCCAGAAATTGGAGACAACCAATCTCATACGTGCTGTCCCGTGGTCCAACAAAATCAGCAATCCTCCAGTCAGTCCTACTAGACATCATTCACAACATCAAACAAATAGGCCTAATTCCGAAAGCATATATCCTGAATGCTGCTTCCCAGCGAAGCTTCAATATGCCCCATTATTTCAAGTTCAGGCGAGAGGACGCTGTGATGTGGTGAATCGTGAGACCCTAACCCGTAAATGTCTATGCTGACTTAACAGTACAGTTCATCAAGCACTGGCCACACCCTGCGCACGTGGTGTTGTTTACCTTCTTACTTTGAAAGTAGGTCGCCGCGCCGCGATCTCGCATCCGCCAGCATTGTTGCCACGGACCGCCCGCCTCATTTTCCTCTCTCGCTATACAGACTCTCTGGTATGTCTTTGTCTGTCTCTCTCGCTCTCTGACTCTCTCTCTCTCTCTTTCTCTCTCTCTCTTTCTCTCTCTCTCTCTTTATCTCTCTCTCTCTCTCTATCTCTCTCTCTTTCTCTTCGACACACACACATTATATATACAGTTGTAATACATGTACATCTCTATATAGTATATTTATGAAAGTTCGTCACTTTGGCCGCCTAAAACTTCCGAACCACATAATTTCGAATTTGACCAAATTAATGGTGGTCCAGAATCATTTGAAGAGTGCACAGATTTATTGAAGTCACAGTAGTTTAACTCTCGGTTTTTCATTAGTTTCGTTTAAATCTAATCTTGAGAAAGACCGTCTTCTAAGACGCCATTGTAAACAGATGAGGTTTCCGTTCTTTAACCGTGCGCACTCATGATTTCATACTTTTGAAATTTTGGAGTGTACAACCACGAAATCGGAATAGAAAATCAATCTATACATCTATTATATATCTGGTTACTTGGAAATACATTTGTCCCCTTTCCCATAAAACTGCGACAGCTACATAGTCGAAAGTTGGCAAGTACCTGCAAAAAGATAGATTGGTCCCCATGACGGAGCCTGATTTTTTATTTATTCATTTCCTGATTTAATAAAAATATATTTGACAAAAAGTTCCCGTCCTTCTTTGGCCTTTATGATTATACCACTGAGAAATGAAACAAATCTGCATGGATCTAGCTGTCCTTCACAGCAGAAGTGCCGAAAGTGATATTTCGCTATACGCATTTCGTTTTGAGAGTATAGATCTAGACCTTCTAATTTTTCGTATCTCTCAAGAAGTGTTGCATCATTCCAGTAGAGTGTAAATATGGTACGCCAATGACTTTCGGTTCATCGAAAGGGGGACCAGCTAGTTGTACATATATATGAGAGGACATTGCCAGCAAGGTGAAGAGTCTGGAAATGAAAACTTAATCTGCTTGTTTATATTCATTACATAAACATACTATTATCGTATTGAGCAACGAGTTGGGGGGCTTTTAGGTTTCACAAGTTCGGTTTTTGGCAGTAGCTCTCCAAGTTATATTTAGCGATGACCTCTTCTACAAATAGATCCCATCGAATCTGCCAAGCGGCAAAGGCATCTGTCTTCTCTGTTTCCGTCATGGCGCTGTATCTGGGGAGAAGGAAACAGGTTTTAGTTTAAGAAGAAGTTTTACGGCACTTGCAACAAAATGAACTACTATCAATTCCTATATTTGTGTCAACTTCTTTCTGCGGTTTTAACGTTATATCAGTGTGCGCGTTGTAATGCCAAAGGACTATGCATCAGAGGGAGTTTTCAGTTTCACACCTCACCTCACCTCACCTCAACTGGCCTCATCTCATCTCATCTCACCTCATTTCATTTTTATCTCATCTCATCTCATGTCACCCATCCTTACCTCACCTCACCTCACCTCTTACATCTAACATCATTTCATAACATCTCATTTCATCGTACCTTGTCTTTGCTGACCGGGTCTGACCTGACCTGACCTAACCTCACCTCACCTCACCTCAACCTCACTTCTCCTCTCCTCTCCTCACCTCGTCTCGTTTCACGCAACTCATCTGATTTCATCTCATCTCATTTCATGCCATCTCATGTCATATCATCTCATCCTATAAAGGTCCTAGAAGGGAGTTAATGGAGAATTGTTTTATTTTAATCAAGGGAGTTAATGGTGAGGTTAACTTAATGGTGATATGTTTCATCTTGCCGAAGGGAGTTTATGCCCAGTTTCTTCATCTTACTTAAGAGAGTTAGTGACAAGATTTTTTAAAATCTCACTTTTTTTTCCTTCTTAAGAAAGATAATGATGAGATTTGTCATCTTACTTGAGTGAGTTAATGATGAGATGAGAATTTTCATCTTCTTGAAGGGAGTTAATAACGAGATTTTTCATCTTACTTAAGGGAGTTAATACCGAGATTTTTCATCTTCTTCAAGAGAGTTAATAATGAGATTTTGTTCATCTTACTGAAGGGAGTTAACAACGAGATTTTTCCATCTTACTTAAGGGAGTTAACGACGAGATTTTTTTTCATCTTACTGAAGGGAGTTACTAACGAGATTTTTTCCATCTTACTTAAGGGAGTTAATGGCCAGCTGTTTCAGCAGTCTGAGGTCATCCTGCTGCGAGGCCAGTCCCATGAAGGCGGCGTAGGAGTCGTGAGACTGCATCTTGGCAAAGTACACGTTCGGGTTGTCGGAGGAGATGACCACAGGGGCGCCATAGGAGATCATTGAAGAGGCTGGGTGGTCGCGCAAGTCCCTCACCAGAGCTAAAACCTGTCGTACATAATGAATAATGAATAAAAATCATTTTCATAGAACAAATGATATTTTTAGGATGGTGGTGATGATGATGATGATGATAATGATGATGATGATAATGATGATGATGATAATGATAATGATAATGATAATGATAATGATAATGATAATGATAATAA